CCACGTGGGCGTTGAAGTCCCCCAACAGGACGATGGAATCCCCGGGAGGAGCACTGTCCAGTACCCCTCCCAGTGCCTGCAAGAAGGCCTTGGGAGACCCTACCAGGGGCATTAAGCCACCGTCATTCGGATACTCTAACCCCTCCACCACGTTAAGGTTGCGGTTCAAGGAGGGGGAAAATTCTCTCTCTATACCATAAAAAAATATCAAAACACAGTATGCGCATTTATATATATTTGAACGTATACCGGGATGTTGGTTAGTATACCTCTGCAGCGAGGACAGCAGGCTCCTGGATCAGTGACCTGATGCAAGCATGGTAACTTCGAACACACTAAAGACATACACTGCACTTCACCTGCCTGTAAAAGACACACAGATTAGCATCCGGACACATCTTTGAAGTGGGTGTGGGGGGACTGATGGGGGCAGGGGAGGTCAACAGACTGTTAGGGTAATAGTGTGACCTGGCAGGTGCACGTGGAGCAGTGATTTGAAGAAGAGGTCCATGTCTGTCCATCAGCATATTCATGTCCATTCGACAGACACACTAAGAACGACAAAAGAAGTGCACAAACAAAACCCCAATGAAAAACAATGCAACAACTTAATACATCCTCAGCCAATGGATTACAAAGGACAACGGAGGGGTTAAATACCGTATTTTCCAGACTATCAGTCACACTTTTTTTTTCAGTAACATATATTAGAATATATAAGTTCCACACTGACAGTCGCAAAATGGCACTCTGGGCTTGCGTACCAGTATCTGCTATTCCTGCACCATTGAAAATTAAGGAAAGTGATTGATTTCACTGGAGCTACTTATATATGTTTTATTTTTTTGGGCTGGTGCGACCATAGTCTGGAAAATACAGTAATTAGAAAAAGCAGCACAGGTTGCTCGATCTCGTTTAAAAACCAAATAAAGAATGATGATTTGAAATCGGAAAAATTTGGTTCCGTTATTATCTTTCTCATCATGCACTAATTATGTTGTAGGGTACAGAATTGGGGGAGGAATCCACAACTGTCCCTCTGATCTGCCCATTAAATCTCAGTATCTTTATTTATGCACTGTCTGTTACTCTGAATGGTTGGCACTAGTTCCTTTCCTTTCCTTTCTTCCTTCCTTAGTTATTCTCACCCACTCATCCATCTAACATTACTACCTCTACTCCGTGGTATACGTATATACTTCCACTCACCTTTCTCTCATTTGCATACATCTATTCTCTTT